AAAAAATAAAGCTTGAAGTAAATATTCATACATAACTTTGTTGTGTGCAGAGTCCTCGAATTATAGTTCATTGATGTGTTATTTTGAAATCAGTGATGTGCTTATCTCATTTGATCTGCAATGTCATTGTTGGGAGTAAGTACATAAGCTTCGGACGCATTAATTAATGGATTTCTACTGATTACGGGTATTTTCTTAGCGTTAGGAAGGTTTATGAGTTTCAGCTGTTCCGACAGGAGTTGAGAATATTAACTGCTCAGCAACATTATGGGTATAAGTTCATCACATTATCTAAGGAAAGGTGGGTTGCAGTTGGTGAGGGATATATGGTACCCAACGAGCGTTCATCTGTCCTTGTGATGTTGTGGTGAGTTATACCTTTTTCATGTTGTCGGTTTATGTCCATTTTATTCCACTTATTGTGTTGGGTAGTAGTATATGTCAACGACATATGCAACTGTTTCTCACTTGGTAAACCATTCGTCTTTCCAGATGATCTTAAAGTAGCTTACACATTCCACTGTGATGACTTAGGATACTTTCAGAAAGGAAGGACTAGATAGAGTAACTGCATGGTCCTCCACATGGGACCTAAAATTCAACCTTAAAAAATGTGGTTGGATCTGTTTCGGTGCACCCTCAATAAACATTAAACTGGTACTTGAATCTCTTGACTTGCCTAAACTCCAAAGTGTTGTTGACCTAGGACTCAGGTACTCTAGTGACCTGACATTTTCTGAGCGAGTGGCGACACAGACGCGTAAATCGAGGATGCTCTTAGGATGCACACTCAGGAATTTCCACAACTACGAAGCGAAACTATTATTATATAAGACTTGTGTCAGCCCGCTACTTGAATATTGTCCATTTATTCTCAGCAGCACTCGCGTAAGTGACAAGCTCAAAATAGAAAGTGTCCAACGATACTTCACGTCTAGACTACTAGGATTTGACTGCGAAAAGGACTACACATCAAGGTGTATAACTCTAGGTATCGACCCACTCTGTATGAGACGACTCAGCATTAACCTAACATTCTTCTTTAAAGTCTTGCATAAAATATCATTCTCAGACAGCAAGGAGATACAGTTCTCACCGGAAGGTTCGTAACCAAACGTGCGCAGTATCTAGGAAAAGCTGTAAAACAGCACTCCGTGCAAACTTCTTCATAGTCATGTACTCTAAGATCTGGAACAGTTTACCCCTAGAAATAAGGGCCTGTCACTCTATTATAACCTTCAAACGCTTGCTATATAAGCTGTTTCATCCCAATGACCATACCAATCAGACCGCACCACTTATTTCTAAAACGCATCAGCTGCTAGAACACTATAACGCCTAGACTCATTACTAAATATTATGACACTAAATAAACTCTAGGACTTCGGAAAAATACATAAAAACACAACTAGAATATAGGAAATGTTTACTGTACGGTTATATATATTTATAAACATTTATATATACATAAAAACAATAATGTTCTTTTCATGTTCACATACTTTCTCTTTCTGAGATTCTGTTGCTGAGCCTGTACTTCTATATACCTCCTGGTCGAGTTCGAACAACCCAACATTTAAACTGAAATGACCATTTAAGTAAATTCATACCCAAATTCCATGAACGATCCGATGCTACCATTTGAAAACGCTGGCCAACATTCTGTACAAGGAGTATTCTTGATCTGAAATAAAGAAGCAACTGGTTTTCAAACAGTTTTCAATGTATTACTCAACTTACATGTACAGTCTGCCATGCTGACCCAAATGGCGCCAATGGATAGTTCTAGAAGAGACCTCGGCAACATCCCATGCAGTAAAAAATCCAACATGATCTTTTCTAGTTTTCGTATCCACGATCAAATTTACTTCGTATTATAAAACTACGATTAGACTGCCGAAAAAATGGAATAAGTACATCACTGACCTAAAAAATAATACATCAATAAACTTCAACTCAAGGATGCTGTTCACAACAAAGTTATATAGGAGAATTGACTTCAAGCTTTATTTTTCCCAGATATTTGTATTACATTCATCTGATGTCTGGGTTTTTTGTTAATGCGAAGACAATATTTCTATATCTCTTTATGTGTTATACAGACAGACTATTTAGCAGACTGTTCCGACTGACTCTAATGTCAGAAAGAACAAACAAACTGCAAATTCACCATACATCGAAATATGTGTAATTTATATAATAACTTATCCATGTCTGTACAATTGTTATGTTCCCGCACAAACAGGAATAAGTATATATTATTAGTAGAATTTCTTATACATCTCATTGTAATTTAAAAAGCACCAATGCATACAAATAGCTTGTGACTAATCACACTACACTCACACCAAAAATTAACACGCCATATTATAGTAAGTCTTTAATTATACAACCTGTAACTTTTCGTGTGAAAATGAAAAAATTACCGACTTGACTTATATTTTAAACCAATAGGAAACCAGCTAGCGAAAGAGACATATCTCGAAAATTACCTATTGCCTTATTTGTACATTTCTTTTTAAATATTTCTCTCAAATTCACCAGTATTCAGTCTATTTCTAGATTAACAAATCATATATATTCTATAAGTTCTAATTAGTGTACATATGTTCATGCCTGTAAAAATGGCTGGTTTCTGTTCCAGAAATAAAAAAAATTATTATTATATCCTCATGTTGTTGTTCCCACTTAAATTGTTTACTGGAGACAATATCAAAAGGCGAAGATAACAGTTGAGTGAAACTGGGAATGAATCTGGAGCAAAACTGAGGAGTACCAATCAATGAAATCACCGACGACATACTATTAGGCTAAGATACTTGAATTAAAGGTACCGAACGACTAGCATGAGGTCCGAAACCCTCGGAGTCTACAGTGTATCCCAAGCATGATACAGACAGCAAGTTAAAATGACCTTAAGATGGATTGACAAGAATATTTTCCTCACCAAAACTCTTGACCAGTTTCAAAAGACGTTCATTATGCAATTCGACTTTCGGACCATGAAATATAATGTCGTCTTGGTAAGACTCAACATCATCTAATCCATCTCTCATGTGATTTGTTACTTTTTGAAAGATTGCAGGGAAAACCGTCGAAGCAAAAGGCAAGAACTTATACTTGAACAATCCGAATGGAGTATTAACTGTTGTTAATGCACCAGAAGTTTCTTCGAGAGGAACCCGCAAATAAGCATCTTTGAGATATATTTTGGAAAAGTATTTTGAGCCATGTAGCTTGTACAGAGTGTCTCCGCTTTTGAGCGCAGTGCAACTTTGCTGTGTTAGGCGACCATTGAGTGCAACGTGGTAGCCACCACAAATTCTCGATGTTTTTCCATCAGCCTTTAGTGTCGTCACAATGGGAGTAGCCCAATTCGAAGATTCAAATGGCATAGGTATGCCCTGCTCAACCAACTTGTCTAACTTTTTCTTAACTGCATCTCGCAAACCACATGGAATCAATCGGCGCTTTAAGAAGACAGGATCACCCTCCATTTCAAGGTGGATGGGATGAATCTCCATGCTACCTGCACACTTTGAACATTGGAGAACTAATTTTCCGAGCGAAGATTCACCAAACAACTTGGGGTAAATTGAGATTTCAACGTTCATCAATTTAAGGACTTTTAGTCCCAATAATACCTGTAATAGAACAATCAGTAAAGTCTACCTGGGAATGCTTACAAATAGTAAATCTTTCTTAGAAATTATAGATTCAGTACTCTCAGTATCAATTATAAAAAGCAGTGAGACTTGCCTGAACTTGTAGTTAAAGGTTCTCATTAGATGAGAATGAGTATTGTGAAAATTTGAAAGAGACATTGATTTAATTTTTATCAGACAGTTTGGGGGAATCGTGAGAATTCTGAGTAGCATATGTATATGAACTCTGGCAAACAAACTTTGTGTGCCCAACTTAAGCACATTAGTACCACGAAAAGTGCAAGTGCTTCTGTGGTGATTGACAATTTCTATCTCTGTATTGCTGAAATACTTACTGTTGTTTGTTAATATATTTGTTATGTGAATTGAAATATAATTCCGACAAATAGAAATTCTCAAATTCATCCTTCTCTGTGTTTTTGGTTGAATTCCTGTAATTCGGTCATTGCGAAATACGACTACTACCATTACAAATAATTATAACTGCTTCGTAGATGAATCTTTCCACATGCGAAACACGGTTTGATGTTCTTGCTTTCTATCCGCATTCGATTACATGTGCATGGCAGTTTGGATTGCTTTTTATGAACACCTGCTTTACAAACTTTTTTACAGCATCACAGCAGACACCGATGTAGTAGGAGTTGGGTAGTCACTGTTGACATCTTCAAATGTAATACATAAATCCTTAGCAGTTTGAAGGGTGCAGGAAAGAATCTGAATCAACCTATTCCCTAACTTCGGAATACTGATCCCAGTAATTAGACGATCACGTAGTTGAGTACGGATCTGGTCTCCAAAGACGCTCTTTGAAGCCTGCTTCTGAAGCTGAAGAATAAAGGAATCACGAACAGGTTTCTTGAGCAGAGCGGTGTGTAGTGTTTCAAAAGTAGTTATATGGAAGTGATCTGTTAGAAGTTCACGGAGTTTATCATACGGCAGAGAAATTGGCTTATTGTGCTTCTCTATACTTTGAGCATCTAGCCCAATCGCAGTGATTAAAGGAGCTGAAATTTTGTCATCACCATGCGTTAAAGCATTCAAGATAATCGGCTATTCCCCGTGACGAAAACTTTATAATTGTTTGTAATAGTAGTATTTCTCAATGACTGAACTAAAGGAAATCAAACAGCAACACAGAGATGGATGAACTTAGGGATTCGTATTTGGCAGAATTATTTGTAATACATATGATAAATATTAACAAACAATAGTAAGTTTTTTAACAACACGGTAATAGAAATTGTTAATCACCACATTATTGATTGAAACTGAACAAAAAACACTGTCTAACGTCAAAATCCTGAATCTTGTTTGTTTATATCAATTCCATAACTTGCCAAAAGTGTGGGACGTCAATTTTACGTTTCTTATATCGTGGTAATTTTCACTTAGAGTATGTACGACAGGCAAAAACGGATTTTCACATTCCAGGAGAAGTCAGGAACTGATGAAAACGTTGGGCCGGGGTCTTACTCTCCTCATGAGTTTAGATGCTTAGGATACGATACCGGATATGCACCATTTGAATCTCTCGCTGAAAGGAAACTTGATTTCGCATGTGCGGATGCCGGGTTATTTCCATCGCCTGCAGATTACTTTCCCAGCGTACCAACTGCAAAGATAAAGGTGAGTAATTTTCCCATTTACTTTTATATCTTTACAGCAATTTTCGAATTATTTTGTATTACTTTGAAATATTTTGTAGGTGCCGTAGAAGTAGTTCATATTTACATCGAAAATTATGGAAGATAAGCGATCCATAGATGAAATATTTTACTTTTAACCTACAAACTTTAACTTATGTATATTATCACATTCAGTTATTGAAGGTTAACCTTCAACGGACGAAATTTCGTTCCTATGACTCTTTTACTTCTCTTATACATATGAGTATTTCTAACAAGGTGATGAGCTAAAGTGAACTTCAAATTATATAGGTTTTTGTGATGCGCATGTTTTACGTCAAGAAGCCTTATTTCATTAGACATCCATAATTATGTCTAGTCCTTCATTTTAGTTCTTAAAATGTATCATTCACCTAGTTTATTTTTTAATTGTAATTGTTTGTATATATAGACTAATGGCCGATGTTATGGATTTAGCTCTGACTTCATTTTTTTCTAGTGGATTTGGATATGACACCAACTTTCAGCATTAGTTTTACTTCCTGTTTCATACTACGGTTTATGTAAAATTATGGTTATTGTTTCCAAAATGTTAATTGCTAACCGTCAGCCTTTTAAGACATGGCACCAATGGAACAGATGATATCAAAACTTCTCATGTCTTGAAAGGGACGCTTGAACTAAATATGACACTTTTTAGCTCTTCACAATTATATCTGAAAACAATCGAGTTTGTGTTTATCTGTTACCTTGAAAGCATTGACATTTCGTTTTCATAATTCTGGACAACAAAACAGGCTATTAATTGTGTTCATACTAAGTAACATATAGTTGCGTGTCAAGAAATTAGTTGGCAGATTATTGTGAAATTAATTTATGTCTAAAAGGCTGGTGAATTAGATGTTTGAAATGTGACTCAGATGTTAACTGCCTGAGATACTTAACAGCTTTCCAACGTTCAGTAATCGTTATTTTCGTAACTGTAATGGTGATCCCTATGAGATTTTGGCACTGCATACCGCTGCATAATTTTTCATTATAAGAACTCCTTAGCCTGACTTTTAGTTTCTCATTTGGGTTCCACTTGAGCGATAGCTGGCACGTGATGCCACTCAGCAGTCTCTTCAGCATATGTCCAGTCTGTCTCCGTTTCCTCCGGTAAATTTGTTGCTCAGTATGTTATTGGCTGGTCCGCTGTCTATCATACCTTCCTGTTACTTATCTTTCCCTGCCAACCATCTTCTCTCCAGTATGGAGCGAAGGCAGCTGTTGATAAAAGTTTGCAGTCTGTTGCAAATGCTTTTGGTGAAGCGCGCTGACTAACTTGACATTAATGTTAACAAATAGAAATAATCTTTATGTTAGAAAGTGGAAATTAAAAGATGCGTATATTTCTTATTACATAGACTTATGTAAATAGAAGGAAGTAGTAAAGCGTTAGGCCTCTTTTAAGTAAATTACCAGATTACTTTCACTACAGATAGAAAACTTGGATATTTAGGGAACAAAATTGTATCAAAATAAGGATTTCTGCCCATATTTTACTTATTTTTAGTTTCATAATTATAGTGATTCTATTTTTAATCAAATAGGGATGCAGCTCAATTGCGAACAAGGCAAAACGCTTTCCACGATTTATCTCTGAAGGACCAGCCCCTGACGCCTACAATGTGGTGTCTGTATGGGGTGGTAGAAAGCCAGATCCATGCGGCTTACTTCTTCCGGAGAAAGTATTAAATCAGCTTCTTGGTGAACCAAGTTATAACAAACGGTCGATCTCTGTAAGTTAGTAGAACATTTAAAAAAAGTTTTGATTCTCTTTAATTGTTTTTAAACAAAAATTAGCATTTATTTGATATTAAGATCAGATCAAACCTATCTGTCTTATAATTTGTGCATCTCAACAATTCATTATTATTCTATGATCCAGAGTCTTGCTTTAGCTTGAATTTTGTCCTTCCAAACTAAGCCTGTTCTTATGTCGAAGTTTTAGCATAAAAGCACAGTTTATATTACTAGTTCTCAGTTGTAGAGCTTTCTGTAGACTTTACTGTATCGTTAGACGAGATTGGTTGTTATCGAATTACAGTGTAATGCTGCTAACACCTACCATACTTTTGCTGATCATGGTCCCCTCCCGCCGAAATTTAGAATTTCGGTATAAAGCATTATTCCTGTTAAGCCTCACTACTAACCTGTTGAGTGTTCACCAATAGCCAGTAAAAATATGTAAATAGGTTTCAGACTGAGTGGATCTATCAGGTGTAAGTCAGCTATAATAATGTAGCGAATTCAAATTTAGAGTAATGGAAAATTACTGGTGAAATAAGAGAAGATTGATTGAGGATTGTTAGTAAATTTAAAATACTTTGTCTTTAAATGCCCAAAAAAGCTTTAACATTATCTTTATTTTGACAAATCACACAGTGTTGTACAGTTATATTAACTGATGACGTTTCGAGCAAAAACTATTATTCGTTATCATATCAGGTTCCTCACACAACTTCTTTCCTTCATTTATATACATGTGTGGAATTGACTAGATATTTGAATAAAAATCAATATAGGATAATGTACATTCAGAAATGATAATATGAGCATTATCAATCAAATACAATCAGATGGGAAAAAAGGAGGAGTGTTTTTATAGTCAAAATAAGTTACTTGTTAGAATGTTGTGATGTGCTTGAATTGAAATAGAATTTTATGATTATTTATTATCCTCTTCTGATCTGACCGGTAATAATATCTTCCATATCTCTGGTATTTGCATTGAGTCATTTCTGTTGCATGTGTTGGGTGTAGATAACTCGATGAACAAGGCAGGATTCAGTAATCAACCTCTCTCTCCACCTACCTATATTACTTTTTAGAATTTCAACCCTCTCCCACTCTATTGTGTGGTTGTTTGTTAATGCGTGAAGTACAATAGCTGAGATTTTTTCTAAATTACTTATCATTCCGGGGCCAACTATTCTTCCCTTAGCTAAATTCTTATGTTCTGATAATCTGACTACCCCCGACCTACTAGTCTGACCTATGTAGTTGACTTAATTATAACTCCATAATGGTTAAGATTTTATTTTGATAAATCACACAGTGTTGTACAGTTATATTAACTGATGACGTTTCGAGCACAAACTGTTGCTCATAATCATATCATATCATATCAACTTGATATGATTATGAGCAATAGTTTGTGCTCGAAACGTCATCAGTTAATATAACTGTACAACACTGTGTGATTTGTCAAAATAAAATCTTATCCATTATGTAGTTATACTCTACCACAGTGCCCAAGTTTTATACTTATATCAATTTAACATTATCTCTTGTGTACCTGAAAGCGTAGATTAATGTTTTGTGAAATTTTATATCTTTCATTGTCAAAAGATGCTTCTGAAAATTAATACTGTCATTTTTAACTGTACAAAAATACTAATCTCTGTTGGACTTTGCAGATGATATATGTCTGATTTCCCTCAAACTGGAAGATATGCAAGTAAAAAGCAACAAGGATAGGAGGAACTTCAGGAGAACGTAGAGAAAACAGATGACGAAGATTCCTGACCAGCAGTAACAGTGACAACAACAGACAACAATCAGCATAAATGGGAGGAATCTGAAAGAAGCAACCCCCTTTACCTACCTACCTATCTCTCTGGAAAGTATCGATTCAACTACAGGTGGACGGAACTGACGAGAATATCATCAAGGCGAGGATCGGGAAAGCAAGACAAGTTTTCATTTCTCTCAAGTCTATATGGAGATCAGCAGCACTGCTGAGCATGAAATATCGGATGTGGATTTTCAAATCCAATGTGAAGTCAGTACTACTTATTGTACGTATCAGAGACTTGGCGCGGCATCATGAAGGCCACTACGGACAAACTACACACCTTCATCAACAGCTGTCTTCGCTCAGTGCTCAAGATCAGGTTGCGAGAAAGGATCAGCCACAGAGTGGGATCTCTGGCACTGAGCGAACTAACCCAGCAGGAAGCGATTGTGCAACAAATATGCAGGAAGAAGTAGAGGTGGATTGGACTGTGGCCATACTCTGAGAAAACAAACCATCAAGTGAGTGACATCACATGCCATCGACATCACGCTCGAGTGGAACCCGAATGGGAAGCGGCGAGTTGGTCGTCAGTGCGAGGGTGACGTGGAGGACGTGATGTGAATAGGAGATGAAAGCATATGAGCACAGGTGGAGCCAGGTGAAAACGTTGTCAGAGTACCGAACGCAATGGAGACGTGCGGCTGAAGCCCTACGTTTCTCTAGGAACTAAGGGAAACAATAATAATAATAATCTTTGTGAAGCAAAAGTAATCAGTGTTAAGATTCCAGAAAAATGCTGAAGAGACAATTAAATTTGAGATTCACACTCAAAATTTTGATCCTACATCAGAGATTATGAAATAAACTGCCTTACACAAAACTATTCGTTTTACTAAAGTTTAGGAGTAGAAGATGGTGGTTACAGGGCATAAGGTCACGGTATTTTGCATGCGACTCTTTTCTGGTATTTGACTGAAAGCTGAAGTTTCAGTAGATCAGAACCAGACAGACAGCTGAAATGTGTTTGTTCTCATTCAAGAAAAAGTCAGAAGTATTTCTTAAATAGAATATATGGTTGCCCAATAAATACATAACTAGGAGTGACTTCTCTTAGTTCATTTAAATTAGATTCATCAATTACTTCTGCCATTATAACTGTGCTTTATTATATGACTGAATTACATTTACTGCTTACAGTTTCTCCAGCTCTTTTTCCCCTTTGACTGTCATCAGATTTTTCGTATTTGCCTGTGAAAATACCGTTTTCATTCACACGAGTCATTCCCATCATACTGTTGATTACTATACAGTTTTAATTATTCACCTTTCTAGAAACCGCTTCTAGTCGTTGTATCAGTGATATCACTCCCTCTGTCATTATGAAATAATAAACTGTCATATGCCTGAGCATACATATAAACAAGGCTGTACAGTCCGGAGATTTTCATGCTAAAGCAGTTTAAATCCTTTTTAAGGCGTAGAAATAACTTCTTCACTAGAAAATAGTTGACTGACTCATGACTGACTGACTGATTTTAACGTACAACTTTGCACCGATGTGCAGCAGTTCAAATCGCCACACTCCATGTAGCACACAAAGCAAGAGAAGAAAGTAGAAGAACTGCATAATATAGACAGTAAACAGAGATATGAGGCAAAATGAATAGTTATATCGAGGAACAATATAGTTTTATTGGGTATTATAAGTCACAAGGAGTAGATGCATCTGCGCCAGCCATTGAGAATGATCACTTTGAGCCATATCACCAATTGTCTCCAGACTCCATTGGTTTTTACCGTCCTGAGGACCCCTCCTCCCTACGTGGTTGGCTTAAAATAACTGTTGTGGATTTCATTGACTGATGCCATGTTTTGGTTTGACCGCATCTAGCTAACTCTTTTCCAACCTGACCCTATGTCAGTCTACATTGCCCGTCGATGAAGGCAATAAAGAGCTAAGCATTCATGCGTAACACGTTTCCCAACCGTCTCAGTCGGTATAGCTTCACAGCCTCGTCTATTGATTTCTCCTCCTTACCTAGCACTCGACTGATGCCTAACCTCAATATTACTCACCCTACTATACCACTTCACACGTGAGATAGAACGCAGGCATCTATGATCAGAGACAGCTAGTCTTCACATGTCTTCCACTTTCAATGGCGAGGTCTCACAGCCATAAAGGAGGACGGAGCGGACTGCTGAGCAGTACACACGCCCTTTGGTCGATAGTCGGATATCACTTCTACACTAGAGACGACGTAGACTGGCACATGCGAAACAAGCCTTTTGTATGCTTGCTGAGATTTCATCAGCGATCAACCCGCTGGCGTTGGCTGATGCAACTTCCCAGATAAGTGAAGTGCGATTCTTAAGAATTAGAATTGGTTAGAATCGAATTCCTCATTTACCCGTGACACAGGTAAGGGTGAAAATAAAAATTATCCCTATCTCAGTACATGATCTCCTCGGCAATTAAGAAAACAAGCGAAATATACTACTGATTTGTTGATATGAGTAGTTGGAAACCACTGTCATCTGTCAGTGGTACCGAAGTGGTTTGGCTCTTCTAAACGAACGAAACGACCGACCAGTGTATGCGCCAGCTGGACCTGGTCAACAAGTACTACTGTTGCATGTGGGTGGTTTCTGGGCACCCAAATCAATCAGTCAGTAGTATATAGCAACACGCAAAGTTTTAGTTGGCAAAAATTTTGAGCAAATTTTTTTAAGATGAATGAATGAGACCATTTAAAATGAACACCTTATTCAGGGAAGGCTTCACATCTTTTTCAGTGTTATTATTAATACTATTATTGTTGCTTTTAATTCCTAGAGGAACATAGGGCTTCAGCCGTGCGTCTCCATTGCGTTCGGTTCTCTGCTAGAGTCTTCACCTGGCTCCATGTCTGCCCACGTGTTTTCATCTCCTCTTCACATGACCTCCTCCAAGTCACCCTTGCACTGACGACCGACTCGCCGCTTCCCTTTCGGGTTACACTCGAACAATGGCTTGTCTAGTGATGTCACTCACTTGATGGTTTCTTTGCTCAGAGTATGGCCAATCCATCTCCATTTCTTCCTGCCTATTTGTTTCACAATTGGTTCCTGCTAGGTTGGTTCGCTCCTAGAAATCCCTGTTGCTGATCTTTTCTGGCCGGCCATCTGATCTTGAGTATTGAGCGGAGACAACTGTTAATGAAGGTCTGAAGTTTGTTTGGGACGCTCTTTATGACGCGTCAAGTCTCTGATCCGTATAGTAGCAGTGACTTCACATTGGAGTTGAAAATCCAGATCTTATTTTTGAATCTGAGTGCTGTTGACCTCCACACAGACTTGGGAGTGATGAAAGCTTGCCTTACTTTCCCGATCCTCGCCTTGATGATATCAATGTCAGTTCCATCCGCCTGTAGTTGAAACGATGCTTCCCACGTAGGTAGGTTAAAGATATGATATGATGTGATTATGAGCAATAGTTTGTGCTCGAAACGTCATCAGTTAATATAACTGTACTACACTGTGTGATTTATCAAAATAAAATCTTATCCATTATGGAATTATACTCTACCACAGTGCCCAAGTTTTATACTTATAGGTAAAAGAGGTTGTTTCTTTCAGGTTCCTCCCATTTATGCTGATTGTTGTCTGTTGTTGTTGTTGGTGGTGGTGGTGGTGTTGCCCAGGAATCTTCATCACCTCTGTTTCCTCTAAGTTCACCTGAAGTCCTATCTTTGATGCTTCTTCTGCCGCGTTGTTTCAGTATGGTATAAAATATTTCATCTGACAATATAATGTAACCATCCATGGGCTTTCCTTGACTATTTATTAGTAGTGTGTCTCACCAAACAATTTCCTCTCCCATTGCAATTTTGTTTTTTAATTTCTATCTGATCGAAATGAAGTCGAAAAGTAGTCTGTATCGTTACATGTTTGACTAACTGCTCGTGCAAAGACAGAGTCTAGCAGAGTTTCTGTCTATTCTTCTGTCTATTTTGGAAGTTTTGATAAATTTTCGTTATGTAATCAAGTACTTAAGCCTGCTAAAATTTGTCTTACACTTGCTGGTGTGTGAGCAAATACAACAAGGTGAGTTTTTAAATAACCTGATATCTCCCATATTTAAATTTAAGGCAAATTTCGAGTTATTTTTACTTGCATATTTAGACTTCCCTTATCAGAATTACATATTGTAAGTTTCATGTATAAGGTGGCACGCCGTTTAGCCTTGTAGATTGTCAGCAAGATGACTGACTGGTTAAAATAAGGAACACTTTATCACAGGGTACTTTCTGACAACCATTTGAGACAGACTTCATGGAACATCCTTGTTTTCCTATCGTATGACCCTGTGTTTCTCGCTGCTGGTAATATCAGGACCGGGTTTTGATGAAAGTACTTTTGTTATTGCTTATCGTTTGGCGGTGTATTCACTGTTTTTGTGCATGGTATGTATACTTCGTTTCAGTGTGACAAAATTCCTTACGTTCGATTTCGTGATGTGCCAAGTATACCATCTGGTCAATTTGTTCACGGTTATGAAGAGGGTACAGATGGGAGATTACAACCACAGCCAGGGCCAAAACGCGACGAGACTATTGGGCCAGCGTTTTATGCACCGACAAAGGAACCTGTCTTCACAAGATATAGAGGGTGTGGATGGTCAAAAAGTGTAAGTTTTTGTTTTAGTACTTACTAAGTACTTAAACTAAGACTTTTGATTGATTACTTAAGTGTGTATGCAGTTGAGGAGTGTTACTTTTGCCGTGTGAAATCGTAGATATAATAATAATGTTTAACTTTTATTGCGATTATTAGTGGGATCAGTTAATGTCTAGAACAGTTTCGTAAACGTTTTTCTGAAAAATTTTTTTTAAAGTAAACACATGCACTAACAACAAAACAAAAGCGTATAGATAGTAGACCAAAATGTGCGGTACATCCGCTTCGTAGTGCGTATTTCGTGAAAGAGTGAAGTAACTTATTAGTAAGCGTTTTCATTGGTAGAACACAGAAACCAAGCAAAATCGACATCACCAGTATTATTATTATTCCCTTGGGTTCCAAGCGGAACATTGGGCTTCAACAACACATCTTCACTTTGTTCTATTTGGTGCTGTCCTCTTCAGATGTGTCCACGATTGCCCACAGTCTCTCATCTCCTCCTCACCGCACGATCCCCTCCACATTACCCTAGGAAAACGCACCGGTGGCTTCTCATTGGGATCCCACTCGAGGGCCTGAAGCGTGGTGTCATTCGACGGCTTCCTCAGCGTATGCCAGATCCATCTCCATTTTCTCCTACATATTTGGTTGGTTTCTTCACAGCCAGAGTTTCTTGTTGCTAGTTCATTCTGGCCAGCTAGCCATTCGATCTTCAGTATGGAACCGGCGAAAGCAGCTGTTGATAAGTCCGAAGTAGCCTGTTGGAAATGCTTTCCGTGACACGCCGGCCAAGTTTCTGACCCACAGAGAAGCACTGGCTAACTTGAAATTTGTGTTGAAAATCCGAATTTTGTTCTTCATGCTGCGGCGAAGTGCAGAAGATTTCCAAACTAGTTTCAGGTTGGTTAAGGCGTATCTTTCCTTTCCGATTCTGGCTGGCTTTCATATCTTCATTCGTTCCGCATGTGGTTGAAACTGTGCTTCCTAGCCGGATAATTGAAGGAAGTAACCTCTGTTAAGTTTCTCCCTTTAATGGTGATTGGTGTTGGTTGTTGTTGTTACCGCTGTTGGTTGGTTATCTTCATCACCTCAGTCTTCTCTATGTTCTCCTAGAGTCCTGTCTTCTCTGGCTGCTTCTTCTGCCAGTTTGTTGGTTTTCGCCTGCAAATCTTCGAGTTCATGTGACATTAGACATATATCATCTGCGAAATCCAGATCTTCCAGTGTCTTCTTATCGGTCGTCCAGAGTATTCCTGTCTTCTCGCTCTCAACGCACAGCCTGACACATAATCCAGTCCACCATAATTAAGAATATCATCGGTGATAATAGGCACCTGTCTTACCCCTGTGTTCACTTCAAACGCAGGCTCCTTTCAGTTTTCCATTGTCGATCACCTAACACGTGACATTGTCAAATAGCCAGCTGTTGAATGAGGTTGATAAAGACTTGGGAACTGCACTCCGTAGTGTTGAAGTAGTTTCCAAATTACTTCCCGGCCAACGTTCATTGGCTTGATCTCATTCAAGGTTTCTACTTTTGTTGTAGGATTGGTGTCTACTGGCAGTTCTGTGCGTGCTGTTGTCGGTGGAGGTATTTCTGGGCGAGTTGCAGGTGATGGTCGATTCAAGAGTCCTTTAAAGTGATCAGTTCATTGTTTTATTTGTTTCTCGACCTTGGTAACTAGGTTCACTTGAACATCTTTTATTGGTTTCATCATCTGGGTTGATCTCTTCCCGGATAGTGAGCAGCCTTGTTGTCTGATATAATGTTCTCAGCTCCCTTTTACCTGTGGCCTGCCTGTTCTGCTTCAGTTACCGGCAAGTGTGTCGTATAATTGTCTTTTGTCTTTCCTGGCACTCTTCTTCACTTCTTTATTCAGTGCAGTGTACATTCCTGTTAACTCAGCTTCTCCTTCTGTTGTCCATCCTTGCGTTGAGTCATCTTCTCCTTCACTATCCTCCTCTCCTCTTTTCTACTGGCTTCCAGGTATCCACTGAGAGCCATTCCTTGTCGTTTCTCTTCTTTCTCCCCAGAACAGTTGTACACGTTTCCATGAACATCACCTTCAGAGAGTTAGTTACAATGTTCTTCCTTTCACACAGGTTTCCTCAGTGATGCCACGTAGTATCTCCGACTTTGCTCTGATGTGATCTGTAGTAAAGGCATCCCTTATATTTTTGTCCTTCAGTTTCTGAATATTGAACTTGAATTGCGGCCTGAAGGATTTCAGTCTCACCTGGAAGGTTCCTTGAACTAGATGATGATAGTTTCAGTCCACACCTGCTCGCCTTCTCGACTTTGTGTCTAGCAGGCTGCGTCCCCGCTTCCTTGAACAACATTGCGATGAAGTCTATCTGGTTTTTGGTGTGTCCATCAGGTGTTTGTACACGATGCCTCAAATTACCGAATTGCTGAAAGCGCAGAAGTCTGCGAAGAGTTCTCCGTTCTAGAGTAGTTGACCCCAACAAGATAACTAGCCCAGTAAATAGTTCAGCTATAGCAATACGTGCAAATACACACAACCATACAATAGGATGGGATGAGATGACACGATGGAAAGAGAAACTGATAACAGAAGTTTTGTTTATCGAATGAATTGACAATACGCGAAAAATAGGAATGATCGAATACCATTTCCAGACAACTAGGGGACTCTACTACTCCCACAACAAATCGGAAGGGAGAAAGAGAAATATATAAAAATCAAGCTTCTATGTTTTGTAGTTATAATTCGTGTGATTATGAACAATTGCGTTCAAAATGTCATCCAATGAATAATACTGTTACACTGTGTGGTGTATGGAATTAAAATGTTTCGGTGATCAGGTGCTTGCACATAACAGTTTAATGCATTATTTTACGAAACGTTTTACTATATCTCATGAGCTGTTTTTACCAACCAAAGTCTGTGATGTAAGTTTTATGTCTAATTTCCCATATTATACGATGCATAATACAAGTGGGGATTAGTGGTCGTCAAAATCTGTTGACGTGAAAATTTACAAGAGGTGAAGAAAGCATTACTAATTACTAATTTCAAAATAACGCATCCACTGGTGCAAAATAAGTGAGCGGAAGTAAGTTTGCATTGGAGTGACTTATTCAAACCGCCAGCAAATGAATTTATTGACTTATTCTGTGTTTCCGTCTGCCTACCCACTGCTCTTCGCCAATGTAATTCAACTCCAGTTAAGATCACTCTTCGAGAGAGGTGGTATCTAGACACTGGCTGTCTCACCTGATGGATTTTCTCTCCCCGAAGCTAAAACTCTTCACCCAGTCACGTCAGATAAGTAAATGAAATAAGAAATCCATCTGATCACTAACAAAGTTCTATAGGTGTCACATCTATTTGGCTGTCAACAGAGATACTATTTAATTCACTTTTAGGTTTACACGTCGATTGATTAGACTGAAGTGCTCGGTCCCAGGTTGAAATGTCGGCTTCTTGTGCAGATGCTTCGACGAAGTTAATTGGTGGATGGTAACTAGCAGTGGAATCCAGGATGCACATTTTGTCCTATTCGGGACTCGTCAACTGGATGTACCTGCATTCTACAGTGACGTTCCCACCGAGGCTTGAACCCAGTGCCCATAGTTTCAAACGCCAAAGCGTTATCCACATGTCAACCTGAGACCAAGCACTTCGGTCCAGTTAATCGACGGGAAAATCTAAAATTGAATTAAATAATAATATGACCCGTTGCACAAGAAGTGGCTCTCTTGTGGCGCTAGTGGTCTAGTGGATAACGATTTGGCGTTTGAAACTATGGGCTCTGGGTTCGAGCCTCGGTGGGAACATCATCACTCACTGCGGAATGCAGGTACATCCAGTTGACGAGTCTCGAACGGGACGAAATGCGCATCCTGGATTCCACTGCTATTCACCATCCATCAATCAACAGAAATATTGTTTATTAATTTAGACTAAGATGTAACCTACCTGTGTTGATGCATTTTACTTCTGCTTTCTAGACTTCAGAGCGCAATCTAGTGCGTATAACTCCTAACTCAATTGGTCCAGGCCAGTATAACCCTTACAGTGATCACTGGGAGAAGATTATAGAAACGGCAAGAGAAAGAAGTGTTGTTGAAGCTGAACGACCATTAGCAGTTCCAAGATTTATGGATAAAGTTGTCCAACAGTTACACAAAAATGTAAAACCTTTTTTTCTCTTTCAATTCTGATATTTTTTCTTTTTAATAATGACTTTGTAAAACATGATTGTTCCATCAATGCAGTGACAGATTCAAGACGGGATAGATAATACAGAAAATTGAAGATGTCGTGTTTCGGCATTAAACAGTAAATTTTTACCTAATTAATTGAGATATCAGTGGGTATCTTTACCTGACGGAAGGCTAAATAAGCCTTGTGTTATATGTGTATTTATATATATTACGATACCGTTCATAGTGGACATCACGGACAGTTATTAATAGTTTCATCTCAAGTTCATAATTCTGCCTCGCGTAAAAATTAATCGAATAACAAGGTTCAATCATAAAAGATCTAGATTTGCAAAAATGGAAACAAGAGTGAGGTAAAGAGAATTGTGGCAGATACTGTAATGACCATTCATCAAAACTGCAGTCTACAGAAATTTTCACTTGTTTGCTGACTCTGTGCAAGGACGATAAGTTGCATATCTAAGTCTGAATCGACACCTACCATGGTTCCAGTGGGCAAGACATACTAATATAGAAAAAATTCCCATTTAGACATTTAGAAGGCAGAAAGATTGAGCAAAGAAATACTTACTTTTCAATTAGATACTCATCTCTGGCTGTACTCTCATATATATAGCATTTTTATTACAATACACAACAGTTTACCAATCAAGTAGCACTGATATGTTTGTTAACAATAATTAATTAGTCAGTGTCAAAGTGTCAATGGGTTGATAATTAACGAAGAAAATAAATACACACGATTAAAAGGTAGAAATGGTTGCAACACATGGATTGTTGCGTAATGAATAATTTTGGAAAAATGAAGAGTAATTAAGGAATAAGCGTGTGCTCAAGTTGATCACGTAACAGATTGTTAAAGAAAAGAAAAAAATAATTTGGACAATTATAATTTTTATAATTTTTAAAGGTTTAGTAGGAGGGAGGAGAAGTAGTCCGGTTTATACATTCATATAACGATGGCCAAGGTATGGAAAGTGGCTGTACAAATTTCTTCTGAACACACACAGAGCTTTGGCTTCTTCAGGTGGATTCCTGTTGCTTCAGCTGTATGTGGAAGACGAACTCGTAGAGCAAAATTAAAATTAGTAGGAATGCTACAAATAATTTCAAATGCAGTATTCACATCAACCTTATGCTCACTATCTACAAGGTGTGCTACAATAGAGCTACACATAGATATTGTTTGTCCCTTGCTTAACCATGCTTGTTGATGTTCGGAAATACGATGATGAACCTGCCTAATTTTACTCCCAATGCAGCTGGCTCCGCAGCTGCAGTCAAACTGGTATATACACATAGAGGAGGCAAAGTTAGGCAGTTTATTCTTATTTCTCGAACGTGGAATAGGGGTGGTTGTGAAGAGATAACGTACCTCTGCTGCATAATAAGCTCGTTTAACTGCATTCTTCAGACATCTTATCTGACTAGGGAATTCTAATTTATCTGAAACAAGCGACTTTACAATGTACTTTTGATCGGGCACTAGGAAGTAATTACTGTCATGTATCTGGTCCGTGGTTTAGCTCAGACTGAATTCTATCAGTCAGGCTTGCAATGTGGTCTACATACTGTGTGTCTGGTCATGGTAGTGCACTCTACACAGGGTCATTTGCAGGCCTGAATCCCTGAGTACTAACGTCCAAGACTGCAGCACTGAGTGACTCAGGTCCGAGTCTCAGAGGGGGGATGAATTCCTTCAGGACTGCAAATACGCCTTACTGACTGTTGAATGCTAACAAGCACAAAACTTAGGTTAGACAAAGCTTCCCACCGATTGCCTCCAACTGTATAACACCTAACGATTTTAGATGCTTGGAGGCAATCGACAGGAAGCCTTGCTTGACCTAGGTTTCGTGCTAGTTGGCACTCACCGGTCAGTAAGGCGTATCTGCAATCACCTTGAAGGAACTCATGTCCCTTCTAAGGTTCGAACCCGCGTCACCCAGTGCTGCAGTCAGAGACGTTACCACTGGGCTATTCGGGCTCGTGACTGACCTCCATATCTGACTGATAGAATTCAGTCTGCACCAAAGAAAGGACCAGTCACATCACACTAGTTTCTAGTATCCAATCAAAGTACTTTACAATTTACACAAATGTTATACTTTTCACTCGTAACGATGGCCGAAGTAATTCCCAACTTAATTGAAGCTCTATATGGTTAAAGATTCTATCCAAATAGTTCTGACAATTTGGTTTCTGCTTGTGTACAAATTTAAACTTTCGTTTATTAAAGTTGTTAAAGTGATAACTGTCAATATATAACAACTATCTTTATATTGATTACAACTGTATATATATTGTCCTTAAAAATGCTAGACGAAATAACAATGGAGTAATTAATTAGATACTCTAAACTATATTGTACATAAAGTCCACTGAAAGGCATATACTGAGTAATGGCAAAACAGCTCATTGAAACATAAATTGCTTGTTGAAAAAATACAAAACAAACAACACAAGAAAATTGATTTTTCTTTCATCAGGTGTTTTTTGGCTTATTTCGAGTTTATAAAGTTTTGTTAGTCGTTGTTTAATCTATTTTGATGAAGGTTAGTTATATTAGACAGATTGATCTTGTTTAAGTTCATCAAGCTTCCCGATTTCGTAACCTTATATATATATATATGTATATATGTATATATATATATAAGGCTACGCGAAGACAGGGATATCCTGGACGGACATGAAGAACCTAGAAGACCTGGATTTCGCGGATAACTTATGTTTGATGTCACACAAAATCGAAGACTTACAAGCGAAAACCGACAAACTGGTCGAAGAAACAGCCGGTGAAGACAGGACTCCAGGTGAAGATAGACAAGACCGAGGTTATGAAAATAACTAACCAACCAACAAGAACAGCAGCAGCAACATCCACCGCCAATCACCATCAACGGGAGGCATGTGAAAGAGGTTACTTCATTCACTTATCTAGGGAGGGAGCATTGTCTCAACTACAGGAGGAACGGACGAGTATGTCAAATCGGGAATCGGGAAGGCGAGAAACACATTCATCAACCTCAAACCAATCTGGAAATCTTCGTCACTCACCATCAACAACAAAATTCGGATTTTCAATACAAACGTCAAGTCAGTCAGTTCTTCTATACGGATGGATCAGAAACTTGGCGGGTCACAAAGAATATTTCCAACAAGTTGCAGACCTTTATCAACAACTGTCTTCTCTCTATACTGAAGATCAAATGGCCGGAAAGAATCACCAAGAAGAAACTGTGGGAACAAACGAAACAAGAAGCAATTGCTCAACAAATATGCAGGAGAAAGTGGAGATGGATTGGACACTCACTGAGGAGGAGGCAGCTGGGTGACATCGCGCGTCAGGCCAGTGCTGGAGTGGAACCCGAAAGGGAAGGGGCGAGTGGGACTTCCAAGGGTGACATGGAGGAGGTGGTGTGAAGAGGAGCTGAAACAGTATGGATTAACATGGATGCAAGTGAAAAGTACAGCAGATGACAGAAGCAAGTGGAGATGTGTAGTTGAAGCCCTATGTTCCACTAGGAACCCAAGGGAGCAATAATAATAATACATATTACCTTTCAGATTTCTCCAGACCAGTGGATGACTGGAGAACACAACTCTTCGCGTCACTGTGAAGAATGTTATTCACAATTATGTAGATTTTAAAATTCTTCTCCTAAAGACATCGCAGATTAAGTCTCTCTTGAAATCAAGTTTGATGTAAAGTTTTCCTTTTTCGGTATAAATGGTGTTTGCTTCCATGAAACTTTCAATTTGATGTTTTTGTCAATAAATCTCAGTGGATATGCAATTTGGATAAAGATTTCTTTCAGAAGGTCTAGTTCTACTTCTAGAGCGTCAGGGTTACACATGCTTTGGATGAGAGTCGTAAGGTATATAATTAAATGTCATATTCTCTAAATAGACACCCAAATGCAGAGACTTGTCAGTTAGCGGTTCCATGTGTTTTTGTTCTGTGGACAAATCTCCTTTGACTCTCCTTATTAGTTCAACGTCAAGAAAAGGCATTTTGACTCGTTTTCCATTTCAAGATTGTATTTGTTAAATGTTAATTAAGGTTATAATTGTTACGACAAAGGATAAAAATGTCATCCGCATACTTTGTATAGTGTTGAAAATGATCAGCATTCGAAGCTTGCCATATCACAGTCTGTTGGCAGTGCACACAAAGGAGATTCCATTGGGATTCCATCCTTTCGTCTGTGACTGATATTAGTGAAAGTGAATAATGCATCAAGGGTACTCAGCACAAAGAACGAGATTCAGATTTCTAACGCTAACTTCAAGTGAGTACTCCTCTATGGCCTAGAAATTAGGCTAGTCACGGGAATCACTTCCAACATCCTACTGTAGACTTTGTCGGACGCCTGCCTTTGCTCCGAAGTGAAGGTCAGCTGACCGACCGGAAAGCATTAGCAAGAAGGAAGTCTGGGTTTGAACCAACCAAGATCCTGCTACCCAGCAAATATGTCGAAGGAAATGAAGATGGATCGGTCATTCACTGAGAAGGCAGTTGAGTGATGTTACCTCACCGGGTCACCGCTCATGTGAAACCCGAATGGACAAGGAGAAGTTGGGCATCCGACAGTGATATGGAAGAGACCATATGAGAAGGAAGTGAGAGCATAGGGGCAGTAGTGGAGTCAGCCGAAATAGATCGTAGCGAACAGAGTGCAATGGGGATTTACTGTTGAAGGCCCAGTTTCCACTTGTGATTCGAGAGTTTTACAGTTTATTTGTGAAGTAAGTCCACAGGAACCGATGAGCATTGAACTATCCGAGATGGTTCAGTACACTGAACAAGTTTTATGCACACACGCGACCGCTGTAGTCGAAAAAAGTTAAGATCACTCACTTTATTTATTTATTTATTCATTCGTTTATTGGGTGAATAATACAAATTTATGTTATTAGCGTAATATTATCTTTTTTAAATTTCAAGTGTGCTATCTGTTCGCATTACAGCTTATCTTCTTATTTATTTTATAATCCCACAGAATTTTCCCAGTCCATGTTCATATAATATTCAGGATAAACAATTTTCAAAGTCTGATGGATCACAGGCACCTTTCAATACTGAAGAAAAAGTATTTTCAAAATAATTTTGTTTATTTATGAAAAAAAGTTTTGAAGTTACTATAGAGTTTAAATTTTTTTGTCCAATTGTTGGTTTGTGGGCGTTTGATTGCCTACAGAATTTCATCATGAGCTGACATCGGTTAGAGAACCATTAGAGAAACAGCTCGGAGGACTGGACACCTGTATCGTCCTAGTGCCTGGGAGTCTTCAGCAGTACGCGCCCAATGAGGTTCGAACTCGGGGCCTTTTAGACCATTAAGCTCGCCTTGTAACCGGAAGGCCCCGAGTTCGAACCTCATTGGGCGCGTACTGCTGAAGACTCCCAGGCACTAGGACGATGCAGCTGTCCAGTACTCCCTGGTGGTTTTACAATGGTTCTCTAACCGATGTCAGCTCATGATGAAATCCTTTAAAATGTTTGTAGTTGTTTTCAGCTATCGTAATACTTAATTTTCCTCATGTTAGGGATTCACAATCTATAAATAAGTTTAAAGCTGTTTTCTGTTTTCGTATTCATACTTTCAAGTACTTCTAAAGTAGATAACTAAGAACATTGCTGTCAGTGAGTTATTCCGTAATCAAACTCGTATTCAGACTAATCAAATGACTGGCCATTAAGTTTTATGACGGGGCACCTTGTTTGAATTCCATGTGTTATAAAAACATTGTGCAAAGAAAACTTGATTCGTTTAGAAACTCATTAACTCCATCAGGACACTGGTTTTCCACAAAGAGAAGTTGTCAGGTAGCTCAAACAACATAACATTTGTGGAAACAGACATATTTAACTTTTTTTCTTCACTATCATATGCAATCAACAGAATGAAAAAGTATTTATATTTTTTTCTTAATCGGAGCCAGTTAGTGGATAAAGTCAGAATGAAATTCACTGGAATATTGTGTTCACCAGTCAGGTTATTGTTAAAGAGTGCTCTGTTTTAATCAGTATACTCAACACCTAGAAATTGTAATGTTGAAGAGTAGGGCTGAATCACCTAATTTTATAACAGACTCTGTACTAACCCAGTGAAGCATCTCCAACACTCTATTACATGTTCAGAGGATAAAAACCAAATTTAGTAAATGATTCTATATAACTATTGGGCGATTGACTCATATGAGCAGTTGTACACCACCTGCATCAACCAGTGGTGCTTAGCATCCAGATTATCGAAGCGATCTACACACCAGACAGCCAACAAACCAACGCATTCTGTTAATAGACTTTAATTCGTCACATCCGTTAACTGTTAAGGCAGGCTTAGTTAACTGTGTCTAACAAACCGAGCCATAGCATTAAGTAGCACGAAAAAGACCTTAACGACGACATAAAACAGATAGAAGAAGCGTTGGTGTTGAATAACTAACCATCCTATAAAATTCATTAGGAAGATAACTAAAGGCCAAAAACAAAATAAAAATAATTGTGGAACTAGTAAAGATAAAATAAATAAGAAAGAATATTAGTCATCCACTGTAATACGATATAAGTAGGGGACATCTGAGGCGCTGCCTACGTAGGATTCTTAATAAAGCAGGAATTAGGGTGTTGGCATTCAAACCTACAAACTCACTCAGGTAGGACAAGCTCTGTAGGTTGAAGGACCCTGTCGGTCCACCCAATTAGACAAAATAATATAATTTACAAAATACCCTGCAATGACTGTGAATTAAGTCAATTACATAGGTCAGACTAGTAGGTCGGGGGTAGTCAGATTATCAGAACATAAGAATTTAGCTAAGGGAAGAATGGTTGACCCCACCCGAGAAGATAAGTAATTTAGAAAAAAGCTGAGCAATTGCACTTCACGCATTAACAAATAACCACACAATAGAGTGGGATAGGGTTGAAATTCTAAAAAGTAATATAGGTAGGTGGAGAGAGAGATTGGTTACTGAATCCTGCCTTGTTCATTGAGTGTACACCCAACACATGCAACAGAAATGACTCAATGCAAATACCAGAAATATAGAAGATATTATAACCGCCAGTCAGTCAAATCAGAAGAGAATAATAAATAATCTCAAAATTCTATTTCAATTAAAGCATATCACAACATTCTAACAAGTTACTTATTACTGCTATAAAAACACCCGTTTTATTTTTTCCCATCTGATTGTATTTGGTTGATAACACTCATATTATCATTTCTGAATATACATTATCCCATATTGACTTTTATTCAAATATCTAGTCAAGGAAAAAAGTGTGAGTAACTTGATGTGATTATGAGCAGTAATAGTTTTTGCTCGACACGTGGTCATCAGTTAATATTACTCTACAACAAACACTGTGGGATTTATCAAAAAAAAATCTTATCCATAATGGAGTTACGCTCTACCGCAGTGCCTAAGTTTTCTACTTATATCAATAACACCAGACAGCCATTTCACTAGTTAGGGACCGAGCTCATCAGCCGTATACTCGATTTGACTCAGCTCAGAGAGCTAAATCAGTTCGAACTTGCAGACTTCTAGTTTAGCTAATTGGATGAACTGTTAATACACAGAATCAAACTTGGAGTTCGCAAGCTACATCGTGGTTTTCATAAGTTAGAACTTCTGGTTAGCAAGTGCTACCGCTTGGTGTGAGTGACATCCAACTACCTACATCAATTAGTCAGTGGTATATAGCATCTACTGAAGCAGCTGTGGTGGAACATCACCTCAAACTGTGTACGCTGTAAATCTTGAGTGGACTTGCCAATCGCGAGTTTCATTAGTAGGCAATTAAATTTGAAAACCTTATAGTCTAAACATTAGCTTCAAAATATGCACAGCGGTCAGAAGGTTATTTGAAGGTTATGTAGAAAACTACGTATATATTTTACTATTAAACATGTTAAGTAAAATGCACTCTTTTTGTTACAACTAAGTGAAACAGATGAAAGATATCAGTTACCTTTATTATTGCTGAAAATTTATTACAACAGGATAAAACTTTTCTTTGATTTCATTTTTATTTATCAAGAGATTCAAAGACAAAGTAATTGAAACGCCAGCGCCAAATAAATATGATCCTCAAGATGGTGCAATTTCACGAAGATGGTTGAAGCGTTTTCAACCGAAGCCATTCGATGCAACAGCAGAACGATTCACTAGCAAAAGTGAACCAGGTCCAGGTGAGTTTAGATAATAATTAACTGTCGAATACACTGGTTAAGCGAACTTCATCTCGGTAAATTAGGTTCTTCATCTTTTATGAATTCGTTTTTTTAATTTTTATCATCATTGACAGACTGTTGAAAATGCTGCAGGTGGGCATACAGTGTAGTGTACTTATTGAAGATGAGTGAATTTGAAAATCTGGATGATAAAAAGGTGTACATACATCTACACCTCTGTAAAGAATTGTGTGTTGTGAGGAAGAGTATCCAGTTACTGATTCTCAGAACTTCAGGTACCACAGTCAGGCAGTGCTCATCTTGGCTGAAATCATCAGTAAATAGACTGATTCTATGCTTTTAGTCTAACCACTCCATTACCCTTCACCAAGCTAATCCAACTTCGGTTAAAATCACTCTCCTACGCAGGTGGTGTCTCAACAGTGGCACAGTGGTTAGAACTCTCGCCGACCATGCACATGGTCCGAAAATCGATCCCCTGTCGACGCACACCTGATACCAGTAGTCGGCCTGCAAAATTTGGACTAAGGATATCACATGCTGAAAATTCCATACCTGTACCAAAAACATACGGTGTGGAATCAAGCTTTAATCAAAACAAAAAAACATGAGGAAAATATGTATTCGCAGTCAGAGCTGATGAGTTTTCATATGGTCATCAACTGACTTTTCTTCTTTGTCTTACACTATAGCCACAAGTCCCTTTATATCCTCTAACTGCAATAAATATTCCATACATTTATAAAGTAGGAATGGTACTAAATGCTGACGGGTAGCTGGATGTCTTGAGAGAGTTAACGATGACTCAATATAGCAAATGAAGAGTGTGCCTTCTATAGTCATGCTAAGTTTTCATCAGACATCAGCTGATTAGGATTGATGCATTTTCCTAAATATGTGAAGTGGTCACAGTATTCAGCCATTTCACTTTTTTTCTCATTCCTTTACATTCCCAGTGGAACATAGCGCCCCAAGCTACAGGCTTGAAGTTTCTGTAGCAGTGGTGTTTATTTTTACGGGATGGGGTTGCTAGCCTCATGTCCAACCTTCCCTCTTTACCAGTCTTATTACTAGCTCAGCGAGGTAAAGGAGTGCGTCGGTGGCCGGGGATCGAACCCCGCTGTGCCACCGACGCCAATTACTTGTTTTATTCGTCATTCTGTAAGAATGCTTTCCTCATAATTTTATCTAATGACTTTTGGAAGTCGCTTTTAGAATAGTCAGTATCACTTTCATTCTGACTTCCTTCTAAAATTTGCTGACAGCCATTTCACTACCACTTGTTAAACAAGCAGTCGGTATATTTTTCTGTGTGTTTTGAGTACTATGCATCTTGTGATCACCTTCATCTAAAAAATCGATATTATCTAAGTTTTTTGAGGTCAACAATAAGTTTTTATGGTAGCAAGTCATTCTCTGGAACATTAAATTCGACCAAGGTTACATCCATTAATTTCCAAACTCCGATTTACTCATTAAGAAATAACAATAAACTGAGCGAATAAATGTATTCCTTTTCAATTATTTCCTCATCTTTGGCTCTACTTTATAATATATAGTTGTTTTTTTCACATCAAAAGTTTTTACCAGTCATGTGATTATTTTAGTCCAATTTACGAATTTCTTGATTATGTAATGACTTGCTACTAATGCCTATATGTTAACTTATCTTGAATTCCGTAATTAATTTGCACTCCTCCTTCAAAACTTAGATATCTTGTTACTAATATCTGTTAGTTAATTGATGTTTTGATGACTTTTAACTTCTTAATTTCACCCTCTTTACCTAAAACTTATTAACTAAGATAACCACATGACTGGAAAAATTTCGATGTAAAAAACTATATATTAGTGTAGAGATGATGTATTATTATTTATTATTATTATTGTTTCCTTTAATTCCTAGAGGAACATAGGGCTTCAGCCGCGCGTCTCCATTACTTTCGGTTCTTTGCTAGAGTTTTCACCTGGCTCCAAGTCTGCCCACACGTTTTCATCTCCTCTTCACATGACCTCATCCAAGTCACCCTTGCACTGACGACCAACTCGCTGCTTCCCTTTCGGGTTCCACTTGAGCGATGGCTTGTCTAGTGATGTCACTTGATGGTTTGTTTTCTCAGGGTACGACGATCCACCTCCATTTCTTCCTACCTATTTGTTTCACAATCGGTTCCTGCTGTGTTGGTTCGCTCATTGCCAGAGATCTCTGTTGCTGATCTTTTCTGGCTGGCTATCTGATGTTGAGTAGTATCGAGCGAAGACAACTGTTAATGAAGGTCTGTAGTTTGTTTGAGATGCTCTTTATGACTCGCCAAGTCCTGATTGGTATGGTAAGTAGCACTGACTTCACATTGGAGTTGAAAATCCAGATCTTATTTTTGGTGCTGAGTGCTATTGACCTCCACACAGACTTGAGAGCAGTGAAAGCTTGTCTTGCTTTCCCGATCCTTGGTTTGATATCCTCGTCAGTTACGTCCGCCTGTGGTTGAAACGATGCTTCTTTGGTAGGTTAAGGAGGTTGTTTTTTTCAGGTTTCTCCCATTTAAACTGATTGTTTTCTGCTTTTGTTGCTGTTGTTGTCCAGGAATTTTCATCACCTCTGTTTTATCTATGTCCACCTGATTTCCTTCCTATCTTTGATGCTTCTCCTGCCAACTTCTTGCTTTTCGCTTGCATATTTTCTACTTTGCTAGAAATCAGACATATATCATCGGCGAAGTCCAGATCCTCCGAGTTTTTGTGTGAGTTCATTTTATGCCTGTTTCCTCGCTACCCACTGTCTGTTGCATTATCCAGTCTACTGCAATCAGGAAAATCATTGGCGAAAGTAGGCAGCTTTGTCTTACTCCCGTCTTCACTTCGAAGGATTCCGTAAGTTTCCCGTTGTGGATTACTTGGCATGCAGCACTGTCGTACAATGATGATGAAAAACTAATTGAAAGGGAATATATTTATTTGCTCAATTTTTTTGTGTTTTCACATCCATTACTACATCTCTGATGGAACTGAACAAGAATGGCATTAAACAGTTTTCCTGATGGCTACCATTGGCTATTTTCTCTTGGTTTCATAACTCTCCATAGTCTATTGCACTGTCACTTGAGTTGGGGAGGAGGGCTTTCGCAAGCATAATAACGCACTGCGTTCATAGCCTCACGCTGAAAAATCGTTTTCAGTTGCGCACAAAATACCACCGTATTATTATCTATCCAAACGCCTTAGTCAAATACTAAAAGTTGTAATATAAAGCGACGATGACCAATGGAAACCGTAAGGAATGCCACTGGCCTTTACTGACGTTTTGTTACAGATCATCAGACATCTTTACATACGCATGCACAGGCTGACATTTGATTACAATCTGCACAGATGTTCCAGAAGCATCAGTAGTCTTTTACCCATCCTCTTCTTTCAAAATATTTACCTAGGTAGTTTGTCCGAACCCACTGTTGGCTTGATGTCAGAGTATTTTAGGTGAGATAATATCTCCATATATGAGATGAATAATGGTCGGGAGCAGATAGTTATTTTATAAAAATTATTAGTAGACAGTTACAGCCGTCGGTTTGTTGACACGGAAGCCCGTATTATACCTCAGTAGGCTTTTCAGAGTGTCCGGGATTTCTTGTGTGAGTATTAGGCTATGACTTAACTATGGATAAGATTTTATTTTGATAAATCACACAGTGTTTGTTATACAGTAATATTAACTGATGACCACCTTCCGATTCAAATGTGAATTTTATTCCCTCTACTAGTGAGTTAATTTGTGTCAAGAAGCTAGAGATATGTTCTGTTTTTAACACTGTGAAAGTGTCATCCACATATCTCCACTATATTTTTGGAGCAGGACTAAATGTATTTAGAGCAATATTTTCCCAACTGTCCATAAACATGTCTGCTACGATAGGGATATTGGTGATCTATTCCATTGCTACACCTTCAGTTTGTATATATATTTTGCCTTGGAATTTAAATATAGTAGATGTGAGGCATAGCTGAATTCCTAAAATAATTTCTTCAACGGACAGCTTTGTCCTATGATTGAGTTCGGGATCTGCAGTTAGTTCTTTTTTAACTGCTTCTAAGGCCATATTGACTGGTATATTAGTATAAAGACTAGTTATATCAAAACTAACCATTGTTTCATCATTCCCTAGTTGAATGTCACTTAGTTTTTTATTTTTCATCTCATATGAATTAGTTAGTCTAGAATTTGAACGATTTCTAATGGGGCATAATATTAGAGCTAAATGTTTTGATAATTCATATGTAGGGGTATTTCTAAAATCTACTATTGGTTTCGTGGGATAACCTGGCTTATGTATTTCAATAGTACCATACATTCTACTAGCATTATTAGTTTTAGGCATTAAGTTAAACCATTTGGACTCATCCAGTGACGGCTTCATTCTGCGTACTAATTCCGCTGTGGATTTTTTAACCTTATTCATTATTGTATCTACGGGCTTCTTAATTTCTTCATATGGACCCATTTCAATATGTTCAGTAACTTTTTTGATGTAGTCAGATTTATTCAAAACTACGGTGGCGTTTCCTTTGTCAGCTTTTGCGATGACAATATTTTTATCCTGTTTTAGACTAATTAAAGCTTCTCTTTCCGATTTTGTTAAGTTTGATTTTGTCTTCTTTTGATTTTTTAGGGCTAATGCACATTGTGCTCAAACCTCTTCTGCTGTCGTCTTATCTATTGGACCTAGTGCTACTTCTATGTTAGGAATGACATCATCTGGTTTTAATTTACTCACTGTTACATTGAAATTTAGTCCTTTCTCCAGTACTTTTACCTCACTAGAGCTTAGTTCCCTTGATGGGAGGTTGATCACCCACTTTGTTCTGCCAACAGAGGATGAAACGCTGACGTCAATTTCATTTATTTCATTTTTGATCTGTGTGGTTTTTGATTTTTTAAAATGCTGATTCTCTAGCTTTTTTGGATGTTTCAACAACAATCATATAATCTTTGTCATTGACCA